CATTGCATCCTGAAACGGAGGAACTCTGACAGCTGTGTTTGGCTGTCTGGCATCAAACTCGTTTCCTTCTTTGGGCAATGAATGCATTTGGCCATGAACGTCGTCCCTGTCCATTTTACAAATGGTGACCTCCTGTCCCCTCACCACGGGGAGTATCCTTTTTTCACGGAGACGTTCACTCCGACTGTTACAGACATGTTTCATTTCTCCCAGTTACGTTATAAAAAATAAGGAGAAAAGCTGTTTCTAGCGTTTTGTTCAGTTTTTTTATTTGTTGTTTCGAATTTATAAATGTCGACATGGCGTCACACCGTTGAGTTTTCTGAGCTCAACAACCGTAGGTGGGACCAGACCCCAGGCCCCAGGGGCCATGCTAATCTTCTCTGTATCGTTCCAATTTTAACGGATGTCCCGAAGGACAGCATAACAATTCCCACTGGCAGCCGGCCTGATTCCTTTTTTTTTTCTTTTTTTTTCTTCTTAAAACCAAACACTTGCCTGCCTGATTCTAATCCCTGTCCAGCGTTTTTCTGTTCCGCATTCACTCTTTTTGGCGTCTCCACTCCCCTCCTTCCACACTCCCCGCCCCCTGCCCGCCCAACCAACTGGCCTCCGATAATGAGGAATAAAAACGCACGGGAAATCGGGAATAGAGAACGCGGAACCTCTCCCCAGCGAGGCATAGTAGTCTCCTTCATGCACTCGGGGCATTGTATCCAGAGGCTGACTGCCTGCTTGCGGAGGTGGGCTGGTGAAAATGAAGGATGTAAAGACCAGCACGAGGGAGACACCCCATAGGTGAAACCCGCTGACGAGGCTGCGGGATCGCCAAATGACTATGATGTGCGTGAGTGCCGAACTACGCTGTAACTCGAGGCCGGGCTAATTCGACCAACCCATCCTACATGGATATCTTCTTTCCTTACCACTCACTAGGTCGCCAAATAATTAACTGATGAGCCCTGCAATGCATCGGACGTATGCGACGCGAAGGCTTTGTTTGATGCATGGGCCGTGTGGCGTGAAAGCTTTGAGCATGTATCAAGACACCGACTTGTAACAAACTTTCTCCCATGACCTGTTGAAATATAGACCTGAGTTCGAATCCAGATGCAACCAAAATAAGCAGGATAATCATTCTGAATTACCTGGGGCCTGTCAGTTCAATGATGATATTCAAAGACCGTCGCCCTTTCAGAAAAAAAAAAAAAAAGGAAAGGCGAATTAGAAAGTGGAGGGGAGGGGGGGGGAGGGGGGTGTACGTCGCGCATGGTCGCCACATGGCGGCATGCAACTCACGAAAACAAATGCCTTGATACGAAGGGGAGCACGTGACGGGGGAGGGTCTGGAGATGCAGCGGAGAATAAGACTGATGCGGAGGGGAAGGAGGGAAGGAGGACGGGTAGAAGGAAGAAGGAAGCCAAAAAACAAGAAGAAGAAGAAGAAGAAGAAGAAGAAGAAGAAGAAGAAGAAGAAAGAGAGATGATGGAGGTCGGGCTGGCGGGGCCTGAAAGATCGAGAAGGGGAGCAAAAACAAGAAGGACAACGAGAACATACCGGTGATGAAGAAGATTCAGAAGGACGGTGGTGGCTTCGTGGGCGCGACACGTGGCAACACGGCTGTCACTTAAAGGGCGATGAGAAATGCCGTGAAGAAGAGAGAACAAACACAGGTGATTTCCCGAATCGCGTCACATCTAGCGTAGACCTGACAATAACGGGAGGATGGAGGAGGAAGGACACGGAAGAGGAGGAGGAGGAGGAAGAGAAGAAGGAACGGCGAGTATAAATCCGTTGTCGATGCTTCCAGAGCATACACGCTAAGCGGAGCAGTGCCACGCAACGGCGATTGAGAGACCTGCCCCCCTCCCTCTCTCTCCCTCTCTCTGCGCCAAGAGAGCTCGGAGGGATGATGTTTTCGTTCTCATCCACCTAATATCGGCGACGGTGAAAAATCCACCTAGCCGCGCGTGCGTGCTTGACTAGAAACGTCCCCCTTAATTAACCTTATCCCAGGAACGTCTCGAGGAGTACGTATGTTTTATTTTATTTTTTATTATTATTATTTTCTCTTCTTTTAACTACGCTATATTCTTCTCTCAAATTTTTCGTCATCTTTCAAGCTCTTTCAATTCACCTTCACTACCTACCTACCACTACTACTAAGGCTAATGCAGGGGACCCCTGTTCACATAGCTTTGTTGTCTCACGCCAGCCATCCCATCAGAGGGGATGCATGTTGCCCGCCGCCCCAACAATGGTGGTCGAGGATGAAGTGGGGCTGCCGGTGGGAGTCCGTTTAAACTACCAGTACCTTTCCCTGCTTGGAAAACAAAAACGCGCCGGTTAACAGGGGGGGTGTCGGTGCAGGGAACGACCGACCACACGACCGACTGCGAAGAAGGAAAAAAAAAAAGAAAAAAAAACAGAGAAGGAAAAAACAAAAAACAAAAAAAAACACAAGGTAAAAAAAGGGTGTTATACACGCTGTCCGTGCGTGCGTGCATGTGTCCGTCTCTCTGTGTTTGTATTTGCGCTTGGCGTGCATGGTAGTAACCCCCTACGTGCATGTGCATGCATGTATGTGCACATCATCTACACGTGGATCTCATCAGACTATTTCGTGTAGATAAGGCAAGCTTTGCGCGACTTCGATGCCAAGCACACAAGGAGCATTTTTTCTTTCTCTCCATTTGTCCAGGAATCTTTGCGCACTTCGTCAAACGAATGCGTTGCAGGCGACTGGGTACTGCACCTTTTGCAAGTTGGAGAGGGCAACGGCCTTGCACCTTTTTCCGGATCTGATCTTGAAACTCGTACTGCACCTTTTGCAAGTTGGAGAGGGCAACGGCCTTGTACCTTTTTGCGGATCTGATCTTGAAACTCGTAGTAAAGGTACTTTCGGGGGAAAAAAGGGATCCCATGCTTTTCCATGCGAGTGGGCCCTGAAAATAAACCGCCCGGTTTGTCATTGCTTTTAGAGTCCTGTGCGACATGGAGGGAGAGGTAAGGTCGTGTAGTAAAATATTTCCTTTTTTTTTAATGCAGTTTTCCACACTGTTTCTCCCTCGTTTGTGATTGCGAGAACCGCTCAAGGCCAGGGTTTTTCTTATTTTGGGTGTGTGGGGTGTGTGCGAGAGAGTGACTGCAGAGGGATGGAGGTTCAAGGATGTGAAATGGCAATTTCAAGGAACGGGGTGTGTGTGAGAGAGTGACTGCAGAGGGATGGAGGTCCAAGGATGTGAAATGGCAATTTCAAGGAATATGACGTGACCACTGTATAGGGCGTAGTTGCACCAATCGGCATCCGCCAAGATTCTGATCGCATCTGGATAGAAACAAAGTCTAAAATCTAGATGCATTCAAGATGTTGGCAATGCGAGTGATGCAAGGTAGCCGCAGGCCAGGAATTGTTGAAATGCAGACCAGAGTTCGAATCAATATAGGATTATAAGAGCATTGGCATCCTGTACGGTAACCTGGAAAAAAAAAAAAAGGGTTTACCAGGGCACAATGTTTTTAGTTTTAAACGCAGTTCATTCATCCCTCGAATACAACACATCCCCACCCAGCCCTAAAGCTGGGTTGTGTCCATTCACGATTTTCCTCGCTTTGGAGAAACATTCGCCAAATCATGACTAAAACGCATGTAAGACTGAAAACCATGACTGCCTCCTACCCTTTTAACTTGAACAAGTGGACCCCGCCACAGCTACGCCGTGGCGCACAGCAACACTCACTGATGGCGTCTCATTTTTCTTTCATGTCTCTCTTTCACTCTCTCTCTCTCTCTCTCTCTCTCTCTCTCTCTCTCTCTCTCTC